CTGATGCTTCTAGCACATTTCCTACCAATAGCTTATCAATTTCATCATTACCTTGTGCTAAAGGGCCTGGTAGATCTGCATGGGATTTAGTATGTGTTATATATGATTATTTCTAATTTTTTTTTGTTTTTTCGAGACAGGGTTTCTCTGTGGCTTTGGAGCCTGTCCTGGAACTAGCTCTGTAGACCAGGCTGGTCTCAAACTCACAGAGATCCACCTGCCTCTGCCTCCTGAGTGCTGGGATTAAAGGCGTGCGCCACCATCGCCCGGCTTGATTATTTCTATTTTTGATCACTTCTTGTAGTTGAATAAATAACATAATTAATAAGGTTAATTATATATTAATTCTAATAATTAACAGTTAATTCTGAATCTTATGGAATAAGTTCAATGGTTTCAATATGTAAAACAACTCTATGCATATTGAGAGTCAGTAATATATTAAGAGGTTCTGGAAAACCTAATACCATAATAGCATAAAATTCTGACTTTTGAACAGAATAAGGGCTTTGAGCCACTTATTTCTCCTGACTTATTTTTTCCTGACCTGCTTTTCCTGATTTATTCGCATCAGTATAGTATGTATAGAGGCTTCAGAAATTGGTGTTCCTCATACAATGTGAGAAAGAATCCAATTAGTTCTTTTTATAAACTGAAATCTCTTACTTTTGGGATATTTGTTGCTACTCTTTAAAAAAAAATACTACTGCAAGCTCTTTTGAAACAACTGGTTCTCTAAATCTCTTCACATATTAAACTTTTATAGGATTCCAGCTAACTTCTTTTTTTTATTTTATTTTAATATTTATTTATTTATTATGTATACAATATTCTGTCTGTGTGTATGCCTGAAGGCCAGAAGAGGGCACCGGACCTCATTACAGATGGTTGTAAGCCACCATGTGGTTGCTGGGAATTGAACTCAGGACCTTTGGAAGAGGAGTCAATGCTCTTAACCGCTGAGCCATCTCTCCAGCCCCTCCAGCTAACTTCTGTATAGCCTTGGGGATGCCTATCATCTGATGGTCATTCTTGTATGGTAACTACTTTCCCAGGTAGAACCTGAGTTGGTCAGTCCAGGTCTCTGCCTGGCCTCCCTGCCCCCAGCCCCCACCATACACACATCACTGTCTACACTGCCATGCCAATAAAGGGCTAGGACCAGCTTTTCCAAGTGCTGTGGCTGACGAGGGGCAGGACTACCTCAACAAGTTACTGAACATCAACATGACTTTAGGTGTCAGCCCAGACCATGGGCATCCACAAGGCCTTTGGTGGTAACAGTTTCCAACTGCAGTAGGGCCACAGATCCAGACCACATGGTGTTCCAGCTCCACCTCTCTCCACAGCGAATCAATTGCTCTTTTCCTCTCCCATCTCTCCACTGTGTGCTCTATCTCTCTCATCTCTTTATCACATATTTGGTCCTTCTAGTGCCACGTGTCACAGGTGAGTGGGTGGGCACTTCTGGCCACCCCAGGCTGCCTTCAATGTTCTTTTTTTTAAATTACGCTTTTTGTGTTTGTGAGCAGGTATGCATGTGAGAGTATGGAGGGTCTTTCCACCATGTGGGTCTCAGGGAACAAACTCAGGCTGTCAGGCTTTATAGTAAGGACTTTTACCCACTGGACCAACTCAATAACAAAAACCGGTATTCCAGCCTAAGAATTTTTAACTATCAATTTCCATAGCAATAGGTACCTATATTAATTTACTTCTTGATTTCTGCTACACAGTGATTCCAAACTATAGATAGTCTTATATGTAACTAGTTCATACATGTTCCTCTGAAGGACATAGCCAGTGAAACTACTCTCGTGTGCATGTTAGCTTGTTTTTGAAAGAGGGTCTCCCATGGTCCAGGCTAGCCTCTGGTCCTGGTCTTCCTCCATCCATCTCACAAGTGCTAGAATTATCGTCACAGGCCACCACATTCTGCTTATATATCTAGTTCTGTATAGCAAATTAATGTTTGCCCCCTCATGCAAATTACCTATTTCAGGAACTTATTTCAGGCACTGCAGCAGCTTCTAACAATAACTCACAGATGAGAATCATGTAAGGGTGAGGGACTAGTTGCCAAATACAAAATCTACTTTATTATTCTAGTTTGGAGTATTGAATCCAGGGTTTACACATGGCACAAGCTGAGTCTACCACTGAGCCACACTTTCAACACTCCAGAAATAATTCTTTTTATGAAAAGAATACACAAGCCAAGTGTGGTGGCACAGGCTGCTAATCCTGGTACTCAGAAGGCAGAGGTAGGTGTATTTCTGTCAGTTCAAGACCAGCCTGGTCTACATAATAGTTCCAGAATAGTCAGAGCTATAGAGTGAGACCACCTCAAAAAAAGGCAGTGGCACTATTAGGAGATGTGGCCTTGTTAGAGTAGGTATGACCTTGTTGAAGGAAGTGTGTCACTGTGGGGGTGAGCTTTGAGGTCTCTTATGCTCAAGCTATGACCAGTATCACAGTTTACTTCCTGTTGCCTGTGGATCAAGATGTAGAACCCTCAGCTCCTTCTCTAGCCCCACGTCTGCCTGCCAACCACCATGATGACAAACCACTGAAACTGTAAGCTACCCCAATCAAATGTTTTCCTTCACATGAATAGCCATGGTCATAGTGTTTCTTCCCAGCAACAGAAATTCTAAGACAGTACATACACACATATTTATACACATATGATATACATGTGTATATACACATACAGGGTCCTTATATATACATGAAAAATGGGCAAAGTCCCTTAATAAAAAGAAAACACATAAAGACACTCAACATCATTATGGAAATCAGAATCACAGATTTACCACCTTCCACCCATAGGATAGCTGTAATAAAAAATAGGACGTACAGACAAGGATGCAGGGGAAAAAAAAATCAAAACTCTCATCTACTCTTGGGAAGAAATCTGGAAATTCCTCAACAAATTAAAACATGGAGTTTCATATGACTTAATGACCGCACTCCTAAGTCTGTATGTGTGTGTTTGTGTATATTTATCATACATACATACATGTATATATATGTACATATATATACATACACACATATATTTCTAAAAAAATTCACCCACCAAAAACCTTGTATATTGGTTATTCATTGCAGCAATATTTATAACAATCAAAAGTGGAAACATTTTGTAACCATCAAATCGTCATTAAAATGTGTGTGATAACCACACAGAAATATCAAGTCAAAAAGAGAGAAGGGGATGTTGCAATACAACTAAAGTTTGGAAACATGTGACATGCAAATAGCCAGACACAAAAGGCCACGTTAGATGACAGCTGCATTCACATGACAACAATGTCAAAGTAGAAATCCTGGGAGGTGAGAACTCAGCCAGGAGTTGTTCAGGGCAGAGGTAGTCAGGGGAGTGACGAGTGACCAGGAACGGAAACAAGGTTCCAGTATCCATACGATAACAGTACTTCAATACCATTGTTCTGATGGTTGCACAGCTCCAAGATGTGCTAAAACACATTGATTCTACACTGAAAGGACCATATGCTATATAATTTATCTCAATAAAGCTACAGGGGGTTTTGATTTTAAGAAAACACTGAACATCATCACAGCTTCTTTGAGTCCCAGAGCTAGAGCTAGTAGCTCTGCTTTTGCAGGCTTGGGTCAAGTTATATAGATGAGGGCTGTGCCTAAGGCCTGCCCAGGCAGCTTCCTTTGCTGCTGGTCTGGAGAAGGCCTCTGCCTTCACATGGCCCCTGGAGGGCTGCTGGAGTGCCCACTGGGAGGACATCTTTCTTCACACCAAGCTATCCTGGAGGGGACTGCAGCCATGTCTTTTATGAACTTTCAGAAGTCACATGATTCTGACACATCCTATTGGGGACACAAGCTAGACCTACTTACTCTGGGAGGGGACTACCCAAGGGCTTGAATGCCAGAGAGCAGGGACCAAAAGAGCTACCCTGGAAGCTAGCTACCAACTTAATGCTAATGGAGACAATGATACTAACAGCTAAGAATTTTGTGGCATTCACTATATGCCAGGCAGTTTCTAAATGCACAGTAAGCCCATGAGGTAGGTACTCTCCTCTCTATTTCACAGAAGTTACGGCACAGAGAAGTTAAGCAGCTCACACCTGCTAGCAAAGGACAGCCAGAGTCAGCTTCCAGTAGCATGGCGCCACTGTCCAGCCTTACAAGACGACATAGCACTGCTTCCCAGTCTTAATACCCAAATCAGCTGCCCATCTGCAGCCCTCAACCAACACCGGCTGACACTGAGTTTTCATTCTCCACGAGAGCTGTGAGGCCACACTAATAGCTGCAGAACAGAAAATGGTGTAATATGCATTTAGTTAACTGGGAGTGAGGCAATACCCCTACTAGCTATCTCAATTTATTTTTTTCCAGTTTTCAGTTGTCTTTTCCTTCCTGATTTGTACAGTTCTGTCACACAGTCTTCATGTGTGCAATCCCTCATTGTTTTAGACTGCCAGTGCTTTCTCGGCATCTGTAGGCATCTTTAGCTCTGACTTGACCTGCTTGTTGAAGGGAGAACCCTGTATTATGCAGCAGTCAAAGCAATCACAGCTTGTGGTTTGAACTGTCTTCACATGGGGTGCAACCCATCACTTGCTCCTACCAGATTTTAATACTTGCTGCTGGGGTCACAAGCCTAGGGCCCTCGTATGAGCCATCTTCCAGCTTCACGGCACTAAACTTCATCTGGGTCCATAATGGCTTTAGGACCCACTTCACTTTTGTTCATACAATAATAAAAATAACAATAATTTTCTGAGCCCCACTAGCCACCTTTCCCACTAACATGTAGCACCTGCTACCTCATCACACACCAGGTTCCAGGATTCCTGAACCTGTTTTAACACTAAATTCTGATTTGCACAGAAGAACAACTGCCACTCCCGAAGGTTTTACTCACACTGCTCGCTAGATGAAGGAAACAGCCTTCACTAACACTCCCAAGACCCCAGGAAGTTCAATACTAGCTGGAATTCTTCCCCAAGCAGAATACCCAGTTAGGAAATGATTACAAAAAATAAATATGTGTTTATTTTTAAAAATAAGAAGAAAAGCACTGGCTAAGAACAAGCCCTGGGATAGAGAAGTCACTGTGTTCTGCCAAAGACAGTCAGAGAGCACGGACACAGCCAAGGGTAGGTGCCTAGTCCAAAGGTCAGAACTGACCGCGAGTTGCTGGTCTGGGTCTAGCAAGACAAGCATTAGAAGCTGGATGTCGGGCTGTCCTGTGCCACCACCACCACAGCACCGCACAGCCTCGGAGAAGCTACATGTCCTCCACACTCCACTTGTAGGCAAGCTCCTCCACAGCCTTCTTGCTGGCGAGCCTGGCAAAGCGCTTCTGTTCGAAGCCATTGGATCTGCAATCAAAAGAGAAGTTTTAGTCAGCCAGAACCCAGAATGTTTATTTTAAAGTGGACAGGGAAGCTACTCAAGGGAATACATCTAAAACATATGCAATAACATCAAAGCAACAAAACATGCAAATTAACCATTTCCCAGTCCCTGTTCAGACCTATCGCCACACTTAAAGAATTGTTTCAAACCTTCAACCTTCACTATTCCCTACAAAGGCTCGATACAGTTAGGCCTGAAATCTCAGATACTCCAAAGACTGAGAAGGAAGATCACAAGTTCAAGTCCTGCTTGGGCTACAGAGTTAGCCCAAGGTCAGCCTAACAACTTCATGAAGCCCTGTCTCAAAAAAAAAAAAAAAAAAAAAAAATAGTAAAATAGCTGGGCACAAAGGTGAACACCTTTAACCCCAGCACTCGGAAGGCAGAGGCAGGAGGATCTCTATGAGATTGAGGCCAGCCTGGTCTATGAGAGTGAGTTCCAGGACAGCCAGGGCTGTCTCAGGAAAAAAAAAAAAAAACAGTAAAATGAAGGCTGGGGATGTAACTCAGTAGTAGAGATAGAGCCCCTGCCTAGCGTGTACCAGGCTGAACCCAATACACAGCACAAAAACAAAGACTCAACTCTCTCTCGGCTGTTGGTTCACAAGCTCCATTGATGGAGGAAGGTCATTGGTTAATTAATAAAGAAACTGGTTGGCCCTGATAGGTTAGAACATAGGTGGGTGGAGTAAACAGAACAGAATGCTGGGAGGAAGTGAGCTCAGACGTCATGCAGCTCCTCTCAGAGCCAGACACGATGAAGCAAGCTGCCAGGTCAGATATGCTGAATCTTTCCCGGTAAGCGCACCTAGCGGTGCTACACAGATTATTAGAAATGGGCTAAATTAATACGTGAGAATTAGCCTAGAAGAGGTTAGATATAATGGGCCAGGCAATGTTTAAAAGAATACAGTTTGTGTGTTGTTATTTTGGGGCATAAGCTAGCCAGATGGCCAGGAGCCAGGCAGCAGGAACGCAGCCCTCAGCTCCTACTACACTCCATTATTTAAGCATGACTGAGCTCTCACTGGAAATTAAGTGCTATGGATGTGGCAGAGCGACAAAGCACCTGTTCTGACAAACTCAGACAAGTGGCACAGACAGACGGGGGATGGTAGTAAAAGGATCAGGAAGGACTAAGCAAGCCACCTTGTGGGAATGGCCCCAAACCTCAGTCTGAAAGCAACAGATACACAGGCATAGGAACAAGACCCTTGGCCTGGGCAGTGCTCACTAGTGTGGACAGAGCCTAGAGTGTGACAAAGGGAGTGGCCATGAGTCAACACTGGACGCCAAATCCCCGTGAGCTTAGGACATGGTAAAAAAAAAAAAAACAAAAAACTGGCAGAGGCAGGCATATCTCTGTGAGTTTGAGGCCAGCCTCGTTTACAAGAGCTACTTCCAGGACAGCCAGAGCTGTTACACAGAAAAACCCTATCTCAAAAACAAAACAAAACAAAAACAAACAAAAAACATTTCATTGGGGAAAGTTGAGTTAAAATTGCATTTCAAAGACAGCACTCTGGAGATGTGTGACAAGAAAATTACTACAGTCGCCAGGGCAACAGAGGAAGGCAGTGATACCAAGGATGGCAACAGGGTCATAAGAGGCAAAATCAGCAGGATTTTGGCTGACTAGTCACAGTCAAAGGAGGAGGTCAGTGTGCCTCACCAGTTAGTCACCAAATGACCAGATAAATGGGGATGCCATCTCACAGGCTAATGAGCACAGGAGGGAAGCAAGCGTAGAGGAGTATGCTCTGTACGTGTGATCGCATCTGAGGCACCTCAAACATGCATGGACAGAAGACTCCACCATGCTGATGAACACACTAGTCTGCATCAGACTACAGATCTGGAACCATGGACAGACAGACAGATAGTGGCTGGAGGCAGCCTGAAGAACAGTGAGGGGCTACTGATGGAGAACTGGGAAACCCCAGGGACTAACAGAGAAAGGGTCATTCAAGATGGGGTCAAGACATGACAAGGAACCAAGAACAGGTCATTATGGAAGCCAATTCAGGGGTGAGGTTTAAGTAAATGGTGAGTGGACCACAAATCTCAAATTCCCTCCCCACCCTTCTTTCTCTGCACTGCCACCCCTTTCTTATTTATTTTTCCTATGAGACAAAACATTTGTACACATACGAAAAATACACATACTTCACATACACACACACACATGAGAACTCTGGGAGACAAAATGACTAAAAAACATACTCAGAAAAGAAGATTAAATGAATAATAATAATAATAATAAACTAGATTAGCCAGGCATGGTGGCACACATCTTTAATTCCAGCACTCAGGAGGCAAAGGCAGGCAGATCTCTTTGAGTTTCAAGGTCAGCCTGGTCTACAAAGTGAATTCTAGAACAGCCAGGGCTGCTGTACCAAGAAACCCTGTCTCAAAAAATCAAAAACAAACAACAAAACTAGGTCTGCAGAGTTCTAAGTCTGGTGTGCAAAGAAAGTCAGAGAAATGAACAGCATAGTAAGCACTTCAGCAGCAACAACCAGCAGCTGCAACAAGAGCCACCTCTGGGTATGAAGCAAGTAAGACTTCAGGAACACCCCCCTGCCAAATGAACTACACTGTGACCAGAAAAGCACAGCAGCCAGCTAGCCAGCAACCACAGCCTCTCTATGGCTCTCTACCCACAAGAACTGGAGTCTTAGATTCCAGAAACAGCCTGAGGGACAGAAGACAACACCTTAGGCCAGAATAAGGTAGGAAGTAGATTCCAACCCTCAAACAGTAATTATAAAACCTGCACAAAATAAGTTGCAATTGAAGGCATGGTTGAGTACTAAAGCAAGAAAAAAATCCAATGGGAGTCGTTCTGCCAGAGGGCAACTTCTCAATCTACACAGCAAAAGTAGGCCACAGGCAGAACCATGGCTTGACTAGCTTGAGGTGTTAGTGGCAGTGGGAAGAGATGCTACAAAATTAAATCCTGAGACAGAGATACTGCAAAGGGGATAGACCCAATTATCTACCCCAAACTTCACAGCGAGCTTTGGGGAATCACTATGCATGCGCACAGGATACCCTACAGTGAAAGTGTTAGCCAGTTATGGTGTCACCAGCATACAATTTCAATATTCAAGAGGCTATGGCAGGAGGACCCTTGAGCTCAGGACCAGCCTGGGCTACATAGCCAATTCTAAACCTGACTAGCTCACAGAGTGGGGTCCTATCCCCAAAACAGAGGGGAGAGATTGGGGAGGAAGAGAGCGATAGGCTATCAACAGAAACCAATCCTGTGAATTGAATGTTGCAATCAGCAGAAAGGACTCAAAACACCATTTATATATATTTTCCAAAAAGAGAAAGCTGTCTCTAAATTGGTAAGCAGATGGGAAATCTCGGGGGAGATATGCAAGCCATCAAATGGGAATTCTGGAAGCAAACCAGCTGAAACAAAACACTCACAACTGATAGCAACTGACAGAAAACAACTAAGACATCAGGCCACAGGTTTTGGAAACTCCAAAGCCACCTTAGCCTAACAGATTTTATAAAGTGCAATCTTCCCAAGTAACTGCAGAACATATATCAAGTGCAACAGTCACAAGGGAGACGCAAAAGAATATGAAAATATCCTGGACCAATCCATTGTGCATTTCAGAGAAACTTCTCAGTATACCAAGTGATTTTCTGACAGTGCACAGTGAAAAAGTCACCATTTGGAGGTCTGAAAACTCAGCAGATCTATATGTCACACACGACCAATACATGCAATAATACATGCATGGGCAAAAGATGCAAAGCATAAAATGTCCATAGGCTGGAGAGACGGCACAAGGATTAAGATAACTAAGTGGCTGCTCTTCCAGAGGACCTGCATGTGAGTCCCAGCACCCTATTCTAATTTCAGTCTCAGGGGAAGCCCTCTTCTGGCTGCCCCAGCATTCTTCCCGCATAGACATAAAAGTAGGCAAACAACCACATACAAAAATAAACTTAAAAGAGGGGGGAAAAAAGAGACTATAAATTGTGTATGCAAGCAATGGTGGTGGCACATGCCTTTAATACCAGAACTTGGCAGGTAGATGTCTTTTGAGTTCAAGACCAATCTGGTCTATAATAAGAAAATTCCAGGTGAATACCAGGGCTACACAGAGAGAGTCTGTCTCAAAGAAAAGAAAAAAAGCCACAAAGACCATAAATTTTAATGCAAAACTATCAAAAAGCTCTTTGCATGTTTCAGACCCACATAAAAGTGTAAGGAGCTAGGTTTTGTTCTTTGCTTTATATCTCCCTTTTCTGCTGGTGACACGGCAGGCTGTACTTCCCTCCTGCACTTCATCTAAACACGTCACAATAGACAAATCCCGAATCTAGCTCTCTACTATAAGCTAGACATTAACTACATTTGCAAAAAGTTAAATCAATTCTGTCCTTTTGGTTTGTTGGAAAATAATTATTTTCCATTAAATGTAATAGTAATTATATTAGCATATAGGAGCTTTATTATTTTACACAGTAAATAAGTGCTTTTAAAAATATACTTAAATTTTTAATATAGTGACTATAAATATATAATCAACACAAAAAGCTTTTTGGGATCTTCAATAGTTTCTTTCAAAATTATATACTTGTTCATATGGGCACACACACACTAAGTGAGTGTGTGGAGGAAGGAACAATTTTGAAGAGACGGTGCTCTCCTATCACGTGGGTCCCAAGACTTGAACTCACATCATTAGGCTTGACATCAAGTGCCTTCACCCACAGAGTCGTCTCACTAGCACAGAGTATAACAGAGTCCTGAGACTTACAACTCTGAGAATCATCATACTAAATGCTAATGTCCCGTGTGGGCCCTGAGATGGGACCTGCGACTGGCAGTAGGCAGGGGCTGTCCTGGCAGTCAGGAAGCCTCTTGAGTACTCAAGTGAGGCACTAGTAAGTGACCACGTGAGGTGGCGGGGCTCAGACATTACCTTGGACTTCCTCCTAGGACAGTGAAGAGAATTCCTGGTAAAGACACAATACAGAGAAGGATGCAACACACAAGCCTTGCCCATCCTCTGGCCAATGTTTGAAACAAAGTGTGTCCTGTCAGAACTGCTTCGATTATCTGTCCTGAGCTTTTGAAAGGACATTGAAACGAATAGGAGAAATACCCCAAACCTTAGAACTGACACACACAAAGCAGGAGAGAGTGGGGACAAGCATAGACGATCTAAGACGGCACAAAGTCAGCTGTGGTTCCCATGCCTGCATTCCCAGTACTCGGGAGGTGGTATATGAGCTGAGATCAGCTGGGCTATGTAGTGAGACATTGTCTCAAAAACAAAAGCGAAAAAAGAAAAACAGAGAAGAAAGGTTAAGGCAAGCAAAAGAAGGCTAGATGGTGGTGGTGCACACCTTTAATCCCAGCACTTGGAAGGCAGAGGCAGCTGTATTTCTGTGAGTTCAAGGCCAGCCTGGTATACAGAGCGAGTTTCAGGACAGCCAACATTATACAGAGAAACCTTGTGTCAAAGGAAGAAAAAAAAAAAAAAAAGAGCCAGACAGAGGAGAGAAGAAAAATAGAAATCACATCTACCTGTCCACTCCATCCCAGCGGTATCCAGGCCAGATATTGAATCTATTGGGAGGAGGTGCAGGACCATTATAGCGAGGCCTCACTAAAGACAAAAATGAGAAAAAAGAAATTAGCTACTGTCATAATTTGATTCAGAGCTGGATGGCAATAGGAGAATTCTTCATGAGAGTTCCCATTGTTTTGAACCCAAGCTTCCAACAGGCATTCCAGCTGTGGGCAGGCTCCTCTGTTGAAAGCTGTGTCCATGCCCTCTTAACCCACCTCCAGCTCTGGCAACTCCCAGTCTCACCTTTCTTGTGCTTGTTCTCCTTAGCCTTATTCTTCTTAATGAAGTTGGCCATCGGGTCCCCTTCTCTCTCTTGTTCTCTCAGCATCCGATCCAGATCTTCATCATCAATATAGCGGGCCAGAGGCTTCTGCATCTCCTTCATTGCATCCTCTACATTCTGCTGCTGCTGCCGGCTCTGGGCAAGCCTGGGCAAAAAAAGAAGCATCCTGGGTAACCATTTCCTCCTACATTGAGGGACTGCAATGCTACTCTGCAGAATTTCCTCTTTGTAGCAGCAGAGGCTAATAGTGTAAAAGCTCAGAATCCCAGCTGGAGGTAGGAGCCTACCATCTCTCAGAGACTCAGCACCTGAGGCTCATCCCCAGATGAGCTTTGTGTTCAGAGGTGCTCTTACCCTTTGCCCCACTGGGCATAAAGCTCATCTCGCTCTGAGTCCTTCTCTGCTTTTCTCCTCTGCTCCAGGCGTTCCAGCTTCAAATTCCTCTTACGACCAGACTTGTCTCGAAACACCGTTTCAGCGAATTCAAACTGAGCTATGATGGGAAATCACATTTTTAAAGATAAACACCAAGCATCACAATCAAATAACATTCTAGCACTCAAGACCAGCTGCTTGGGATCTTCGTGATGGTAGGAACTCTGCAGTCAGGCCACAGTGGCTCCTACCAACATATGCACATCATGGGGAAAGAAGCACTTGGATTACTGAGGTTAGAGTGCTGCACAAAAACCTGAGTAGACACATGGAAGCAATGAAAAGTTTCAACTAGCAAATACAATAAGCCACACTTAAAAACAGAAAAGACAGAGAGCTACACGAGCTGGAAGTGGCCCCTGAATGCTCTCGTTTGTACCTTCAAGGGCTGTGGTGTCTTGGTCCTGTTTCTTGAGATCCTGCTGCTCCCGCTGAACATCAGTCACCAATCCAGTTTTTGCTCCAGAATACATACGTGCATGCTGTGAAAGAAAACAGGAATACATGTGTGCAGTCTGTGCAAGAGAAGAGGAATACATGCGTGCAGTCTGTGCAAGAGAACAGGAATACGTGTGTGCAGTCTGCGCAAGAGAACAGGAATACATGTGTGCAGTCTGTGCAAGAGAAGAGGCAACAGTCAACACCGTGAGGCAGCTAGTTGCTTGTATGTCTGATCATCAGCAATAGCCAAACCAAAATCTCTAGTTTCATATTCTCATTATTATTGACCACAGGCTCACACCACAGGGAGGAATTTCTAATCTCATGATACACTTTATACTATTAAATTTTAAAGTAAACAGAAAGAGAAACACACAGCCCATAGAAGAAGAGGCTAAGAACACGCAAGCTTTCTTTCTCTTTTTAAGATAGGGTCCCATACAGGACAGGCTGGCCTTGAACTCACCTATCCATGTTTCAGAAAGGAAGCTGAGGATTAAAGGAATCAAGTTTCTTGCCCAATCTCACAGATACTAAGTAGCAGAAGAAGGATTTAAAGCTATGATTGGTTTCCTGGGGTTCTGTGCTTCCAACTGCACTCTGCAAGCTGTAAGCCTCAGCTTATTATTAAGAAAACAGGCCGGGCAGTGGTGGCGCACGCCTTTAATCCCAGCACTCGGGAGGCAGAGGCAGGCGGATCTCTGTGAGTTCGAGACCAGCCTGGTCTACAAGAGCTAGTTCCAGGACAGGCTCCAAAACCACAGAGAAACCCTGTCTCGAAAAACCAAAAAAAAACAAAAAAAACAAAAAAAAAAAAAAACAGGTGGTGGCCTAATCATCCTATCAGGTGGGAGGATGCAGGTGGGTCTGAAGTTCAAGGCAACCCTGGAGTACTCTCAAAACAACAACAACAACAACAACAACAAAAAAACCCAGCAACAACAGGGAGGCTTCTGGAGATACTGAAACTTACGGCATTACAAGGCTATAAAAGGCTGGAGCCACCTAGGAAATCTGGTATAAGCTAGGCACTCCTGATCCAAAACTGGAAATAGACAGCAGTCCATAATCCAAGATATTCTGAGCATCATTTTGTGCAGTATCTGCAAAGCCTTCAAACCTTCAAGCACCTGGAAAAGGCATCCCCAAGCCTCTGCTTACAAGTCCAGCTCAAATGAGTCAGAGCCATGCAGACTTCAGAGAGAAGTTCCAGAAGTACATTAACTCACACTTACTGAACTGAATCTTGACTCTCTGGCTGCAATGTTTTTGGTGTCTGTAAAGATAGATGGGAGGATAGATGTGTCTGATAAAGACACAAGTCCTTGAAATCCCTACCTTCTTCCCGGGATGGGGACTCCTTCGAGGAGGAGAGAGATCAGAATCAGAAGATTTGGTCCTCTGTCTTCTCCGGGGTGGAGAGAGGTCAGAGTCAGAGCTCCGGTGTCTCTGTCTGTTCCGTGGCGGTGACAGATCTGAGTCAGAATCCTGGTGTCCTGGATTTTGTTTTTGCCGTGGAGGAGAAAGGTCTGAATCAGAGGCTTTTTGGCAGACACCTAGGCAGAAAGGCAGTCAAAGTGTGACTCCTCTGTTTCCTAGGTGAAGAGCGTGTATGAAATCTCTGGGTTAAGAGAACCTAGGGATTAAAGAAAGGGATGGTTCAGAGGTAAAGTGAACCAAGTACGTAAGGCCCTGGTTTTGGACCCAGCACAGGTAGAAAAAAAGGAGGATAAATTAACCTCCTTGGAAGAATATTTGTAAGAACTTACCATGTACCAGGTGGTGGTGGCACACTCCTTTAATCCCCAGCACTCGGGAGGCAGAGGCAGGCAGATCTCTGTGAGTTCGAGGCCAGCCTGGTCCACAAGAGCTAGTTCCAGGACAGGCTCCAAAGCTACAGAGAAACTCTGTCTTGGAAAAAAACAAAAAACAAAAACAAAACCTTACCACACTGGGGTACTCGGCCATCTTATAAAAAAACAAAACAAGCACAGGAGACACAGAGAACAAAGTCAGGGGCTCTGTGTCCTGGCCACCAGTGTCTGGGGACATTGAAAAGTATGTGAAATTTCAGATATTCATCTATACTTTGGTCTACCACTGCCACTCTGTCCAGAATCAACAGAAGAGTTTGGAGTCAGCCCTCATGGTATGGCAGAGTCAGGAAGGCCTGGAGTATGTGCTGATGTCCTCAAACTCAATAAAATAATTTATGTGTTGCTTTCATTGGTTGAATAAAGAAACTGCCTTGGGCTTTTGATAGGGCAGCATTTAGGCAGGCGGAGTAAATAGAACAGAAGGCTGGGAGGAGGAAGGCAGACAGGGAGAGCCGCCATGAAGTCGCCAGGTCAGAGACGCTGAATCTTTCCAGGTAAGCCATGACCTTGTGGTGATACACAGATTAACGGAAATGGGTTTGATCAGGATGTGAGAGTTGGCCAAAAAGAGGCCAGATATAATGGGCCAGACAGTAATTAAATTAATACAATTTTTTTGTGGTTATTTCGGGGGTTAAGCTAGCCAGGCAGCGGGACGCAGCCCGCTCCTTCTACAACAGATCGGCACCCAACATGGGGCTCAAACCCACGACCTGAGATTAAGAGTCTCATGCTCTACCAACTGAGCAGCAGGACACACCTGCTCCTTCTACAACAAAAGTAATTTAACTTTAAAATCAAAACAGTTGCTAGAACAAATGCATAGGTCTGCTCTCGATGACAGTGGGTACCAGGTTGTAGCAACGGCCACACGTTCTGACCTAGCAAACAACTGCTCAGCTTTCTAGGAACCTGTCACTTAAATCCCCAAGAGATCTAAGATAAGAAACAATCCATAGTTGTTTCAACAGTATATGTACAGGATGACTGTCAACTATCCTAAGAGCAAAGCTAGAAATAATCCAAAGCATGCAATCTCAGGAAAATGGCTGAGTCAATTTATATAACATAAAAAGGTTAAAAATAAAAAAAGAAAGAAAATCACAGTAACATAACAATACCTACAAACCAGAGAAACTTTGTTGAGTGGAGAGAGCAAGCAAGATCACACACAGCAGGTATGCTCTGCACAGCCAGGCTCATGCATGATCACACACAGCAGGTACACTCTGCACAACCACTCATGCCAGATCATACATAGCAGGTACACTCTGCACAGCAAGGCTCATGCAAGATCATACATAGCAGGTAAACTCTGCACAGGTAGGTTCATGCATGATCACACACAGCAGGTACGCTCTGCACAGCCAGGCTCATGCAAGATCACATACAGCAGGTAAACTCTGCACAGGTAGGCTCATGCATGATCACACACAGCAGGTACGCTCTGCACAGCCAGGCTCATGCAAGATCATACACAGCAGGTACACTCTGCACAGCCAGGCTCATGCACGCCAGAAAGCACCCAAGGCCCTGGCTACAACACTAACAATGACACTGTCTGAATGACAGTTGGTTTAAACCTTCCTGTGCATTCTATTCACAGCTTTCATTTGCATCCATTATTACTGTATGTGTGTGTGAGTGCAGGCGCCCATATGTGGAGGACAGAGGGCAGCATTCAGAGTCAGTTTTCTCCTTTCACTGCACTGGTACAGAAAATTCTTTCACCTACAAAGCCACCTTGCCTGCCCCATCAGTGCCTTTTTATGGGGTACAAGGGTGAGCAAGAGCACATAAGAACTTTCCTCCCTACCCCTGGGAGTTTTTAACTCTACGCCTAGCCTCTCGTGTTTCAAAATGTTTCCAAGGAAACTCACTCTCATACTCACAAGATCAAGTTCCTCTTACAAACAGCCATATGCTCACCTTTAGGATCAAGCTGCTTCTTAGCTCCAACATGAGCCTTTGTTTGCCGTTTCCGTGGAGAAAGGTCAGAGTCCTGCCCGTACTTGCTGTTCTTGGAGAGTGATGAGTGAGAGGGTCCCAGCCCCCTCTGATGTACAGTCTTGCTAGAGGATCTTTCCGCAGCTTTACTACTTTTGGTTCTGGACAGTTCCAAATCAGGGGAGTCATGACGGGCCCTCCTGAGAGGCTGTGGGTCTGAAGTGTCAAAAGTCCTCCTATGTGTGGCTGTGTCAGGGGAGTGGTTATGGGCCCTTCTAGGGGGAGAGACACCCGAGGAACCAAGATGGCCTCTCCTAGGAGATACACCTGAAGAATTACGATGAGACTTCCTGGGGGGAGAAGCGTCTGAGTCATGGCGGACCCTTCTAGGAGGAGATGTGTCTGCGTCATGACGGGATCTCCTTGGGGGAGAGGGATCTGGGGTGTCATGACGGGATCTCCTAGGAGAAGATGGATCTGGGGTGTCATGACGGGATCTCCTTGGGGGAGATGGATCTGGGGTGTCATGACGGGATCTCCTTGGGGGAGAGGGATCTGGGGTGTCATGACGGGATCTCCTTGGGGGAGAGGGATCTGGGGTGTCATGACGGGATCTCCTTGGGGGAGAGGGATCTGGGGTGTCATGACGGGATCTCCTAGGAGAAGATGGATCCGGGGTGTCATGACGAACCCTCCTAGGAGGAGACGGATCTGGTGTATCATAATGGGTCTTCCTGGGAGGAGATGGATCTGGGGTGTCATGACGAACCCTCCTAGGAGAAGATGGATCTTGCTCATCATGACAGAAATGCCCATCTTCACTGTGGTCTAAATACAAAAGCAAACAGTCAGATTCCCCACAGAGCGCCGTGCATATCTCACCCAGTTTAAAAACATGGCCCAGAAACACCTATCTCTGAACTACTGGAAAAGCCCATAAGGTCTACCTGGCTCCTGTGCTTAGGGGCAGCAAAGCAGCACTCACAGACAACCTAAAGAGTAACTCCTCTCACTTCCTCCCAAGACCCCAGTGTGCAAAGCACATTCATTCATAGTACTCTTATAGTAAGCAAGGCAGGTGATTGTGTCTAACAGACATGAAAACAGAGGTTCTGGGGATCCCCCCTAAGGCCACCATTACTCAGAGGAGACATGTCCCCTCCCAATCCAATTCATTTCCAGTGACTCCTGTTGCTATGCAGTCTAGATCATTTACAGGCTTACTCACTCCTTTTTAAAGGCACAGTGACTAAACTTGTACATATCAAATGAAACGTACTAAGTATTTAATCCATGTCACTATGCTCCCCTTTTAAGAGGGGCAATCAGGAAAAAAAAAGAAAAAATCAAACATTAACTGTTATCTACTGTGGAACAATGCTTTATACAGATTTCTTAACTCTCACAAGCCTGGGAATCCTGGGCCTCCATGCTCTTCCTGTTATTTATATGGTCCTTCCAAAGTCCTGCTGTTACCAACTGCTCCCTCTTGTGGGCCAGGGAGGAACGGGGCTAAAAGGTTTCTAAACAGTCATGGTCTAACAAGTCAGTCTCTAATGCCCCGTGTCCTCCTCCAGAAGTCCTGACACCTTTTCCCCACAATTGTCATAATCACTGACACAACTGATGGAGAAGGGTCATCTGTCTATGTGTTACTCTCATTGGTTAATAAAGAAACTGCCTTGGCTTTTTGATAGGGCAGGATTTAGATAGATGGAGTAGACAGAACAGAATGCTGGGAGAAAGAAAGCATAGTTGGTCAGATGCCATGGAGCCAGCCGCCTGGTCAGACATGCTGAATCTTTCCCGGTAAACCATCACCTCGTGGTGCTACACAGATTATTAGAAATGGGTTAATCAATATGTGAGAATTAGCCAATAAGAGGCTAGATATAATGGGCCAGGCAGTGTTCAAAAGAATACAATTTGTGTGTTGTTATTTCGGGGCATAAGCTAGCCAGGCGGCCGGGAGCCGGGTGGGATCATAGCCCACCGTTCCTTCTACACACAATGAAACAAGCAACACATTCCTCTGGAGCAGTGGTTCTCAACTTCCTAACACTGTGACCTTTAACACAGTTCCTCATGATGTGGTGACCCCGACCATAACATTATTTCACTGCTACTTCCTGTCATTTTGTTACTACTATGATTTGTAAAATAAATATTTATAATGTAATTTGTAATATAAAATAATATAGAAGTAATATGATATAATATCTGATAGGCAACCCCCAAAGGGGTCGAGAACCACTGCTCTAAAGCAAGAAGGGACCTGCCCTATAGAGCAGACATTTAGAGTATCTGCTGCTGACACTCACCTCCAAGGAGCTTCCATTTGGCACTGGAGCGGAAGGCCTCCATCTGCTTCACCTCTTCTGGACGCTCATCCACAAACTCAGCCACCTGCAGGAGTGGGACACTGCAGTAAGAGACTGCACAATCTGGCCAAGGAGCACTCGTCACAAGAACCTCCTAACACACACAGGGCCCACTCACCCTGTGGCAGGCATCAGGAACCACGCAGCAGTGCTGATGCTCTTGGCCCGTGAACACTGTCACTCTCCCTCCAGAGATAAAATCATACAAACCTTCTTAGTAATCGTGCTGGCACACAACGGCCATGTGGAAGTGAAAAGCTCATTCCTTCCACATTTTTAGTCTCCACGCACAGTGAGAACACGGCCTTCCTAACCTGCCTATCGTTAATCAAAGACTCGGCCCTATGAAGCCTTTCCTGTGATTGTCACAATGACAGGTCTTGAATCCAACTAAAGGGAACTACTGGCCATACACCAAATTACAGAACGTTCAGAGACAGCCTCCAATCTTCCTGATCAATGATAAATGACCACTCATAGAACCCTCCCCGATGCAGAACTCACCTTTCAAGTCAGTCCCTGTATTCTGCAACAGCAAAAGAACATTCTTGGTTTTACTGAACCCCTATCTGCCCTCAGAGAACTTCTTTTCCTCTGTCTTAACTCTGACCTCTAATCCCTTTCCGACTGAGACCTTCAGCGTGGCTGCAGCTATACAAAGCAGCTGTGCAAGCCTGATTCTCCTAGTCAGTTCTTTACCATAATCCTGCCAAGAAAGATCCGAGGCCACTGACCAGCAAACTGTGCCCCAGAGAAGGTAAATGACCCTAGGCTAGCCAACCGTAAAAATGGAATTCAAACGCAGGCCATCATTCCTCTGTACTACTTCTGCTCCCCAAGTCCCACCATCACTCCTCATATAATCTACTCTGAGCTCTATCCCTGGGCGGTCCTGGAGACCAGGCTGGCCTCCAACTCACAGAGATCCGCCTGCCACTGCCTCCCGAGTGCTGGGATGAAAGGTGTGTGCCCCATCACTGAGCTCAATGCCCTTATTTCTAGAAGCAGGACTCAAAGGACTGCTCTGAAAACTGAATGAGATCCTTTGTGTTCGCTTGGCAGTGCCTGGTACATGATTGGTACTCAATAAACTAAGTCTACCTAAGTCATCCTTGCATGCAGAGAATTGCTTATGTCTCCCTCTGGTCACCTGACTATCATACCTGAACAGTGCTAGGCTGGAAGATCAAAATTCAAAACCTTCTGCTGAAAACTCATCATATTCACACCAGCACACAGTCAAATCACTACTTTGGGATCATTTGTACGAGCATCATAGACAAAAACAGCACCAGACAGCTCTTTGCTCAGCTTTCCCCTACAGTTTTAGCCCACAATGGGGAGTCAAGGATGAGACACCTGAATCATTTCAAAGTCCCAACAAGACTCCAAGATACATACCACAGGCAAATCTCCATCCTCTTCCTCCTCCTTTTCCGGCTTAGTGGTAGAGATAGCTGCCCAGCCCACATCATCATCAACAATCCGCATTCTAGATGGGAACAATAAAAGGCTCAAAAAGGCACTCATTCTGGGACACAGGCCTATGTACACTAGCCTATTAGTTTTTTTTTTACATTTATTTATCATGTGTGTATATGCGATGGTATATTCATGTACCACAGCACACATATGGAAGCCAGAGGACAACTGCAGGAGTCGGTTCTCTCCCTCCACCATGTGGGTTCAGGGTGTCTGAACTCGGGATGTCACGTTTGCTGGCAAGCACTAAGCCATCTCACTGGCCTCGTATTGGCTTTTAAAGTTCAAAAGTATGGCTCAAGCTGGGCGGTGGTAGCACACGCCTTTAATCACAGCACTCGGGAGGCAGAGGCAGGCGGATCTCTGTCAGGACAGGCTCCAAAGCTACACAGAGAAACTCTGTCCTGAAAAAAAAAAATTAAAGTATGGCTCAGTCTTTGCCTATATGGACGGCTACCATCAAACCACCCCACCACTGTCCATCATTTGTTTGTTTTTGGAGACAGGGTTTCTCTGTATATAATAGCCCCAGCTGTCCCAGAACTCACCCTGGAGACCAACCTGGCCTCAAACTCAGAGATCCACCTGCCTCTGTCTCCCAAATGCTGGGATTAAAGGTGTGTGCCACCTCCTGGTCTATCACTGTCCATCTTGGATTGAGTCAAATTTCTTACTCTAGCAGGTTTTACAAATGCAGCCCCTTCCCTCTGCCAGGCCCACTTTCCTCTCCCTTAACCAGGGATCTCATTTTCTTTGGGTTCTGACATTGAATAGCTTTCTTGAATGTATTTTTCTTGTTCACTGTCTCTTACTCCCAAGCTGGAAATCCCTCTACACACTCTTAGAATGTTTTCATTTGTATTTATCAAACAAGTTAAATCAATTTGTTGTATCACTAGTTGTATAAAGCCCACATTCCCGTTAAACTCTAAGTTCCAACAGCCAAGGGCTAGGACATTCTTTTATTTGTTCATTTCCCCCCTTCTCGGATACTCTCCCTATGGTTAGGTTCAAACCCCGTTCTCCTGCCCCAGCCTCCCCTGTGCTGGGATTGTTAAGTATCTACCACCATATCCTGCTGACTAAGTCAGTCTTGTTCATCAAGACCTCTTTAACACAACTGTCACAGGACATAGTCAGCCCTCCATACCAATGGGTTCTGCAACTGCATATTCAACCTACCACAGACTAAAAATACCCAGGGAAAAGAAAATTACCAGGCCAGGCAGTGGGGGCGCACGACTTTAATCCCAGCACTTGAGAGACAGAGGCATGAGGATCTCAGTGAGTTCAAGGCCAGCCTGGTCTACAAAGTGAGTTCCAGAACAGCTAGGACCGTTACACAGAGAAACCCTATCTCGAAAAACAAAACAAACAAAAAAAAAGAAAGAAAGAAAAGAAAGAAGGAAGGAAAAGAAGGAAAGAAAGAAAAAAGAAAGAGAAAGACAGAAAGACAGACAGAAAGAAAGAAAAAAAGAAAGAAAGAAAGACAGACAGACAGACAATTACCAATATATTGGACAGATACAGACTTTCTTTGGTGACAATGCCCTAAACAATGTAACAATGTACTGGTATACCATCTGCCTTAGGGCTCCTACTGCTGTGACAAAACACCTTGACCAAAAGGCAAGTTAAGGAAAAGATTTATGTGGCTTACACGTCAGCATTTCTTTTTCACTGAAAGAAGTCAAGGACAGGAACTCAAACAGGGCAGGATCCTGGAGGCAGGAGCTGCTTACTGGCCTGCTTCCCATGGCTTGCTCAGCCTGCTTTCTGATAGAACCCAGATCACCAGCCCAGGGATGGCACCACAAACCATGGGCTGGGCCCTCCAGCATACATCACTAAAGGAGAAAATGCCTTACAGGCAGATCTCATGGAGGCATTTCCTCTGCTAAGGTTCTTTCCTCTGACGACCCTAGCTTATGCTGAATTGACACAAAACCAGCCAGTACACCATCTAAGCTGCAGTGGGTGTTGAAAGTAACCCAGAAATGATTTAAAGAGGATATGAATAGTTTTCCCGCAAATACCGTATCGTTGTGTGGAGGAACTTAAGTACCTGTGGACTTGAGGAACCAGTCCACCAACTACTGAACAATGACGGCAGCCAATAACGTGATCCGCACAGACGAACTATGCTGCAAAGAGGTATTTGAAAAGCCAGGAACACAGGATGCATCTTTAATCACAACAGCCATTTCAGACAAACGATAGTGTTTAGGGTCACTGCTTTAAAGCCTTGGACACAGAGTCTCAGAGAGATGAACTCTCTTGCCCAAGACCACCCAGGCTATAAACATAAATAGAATGGCTGGGATTCAAACTCTAGTGCTGTTACAAAGCTTAAACTTTTTTCTCTGCATGGCATTGCTTCTTCTTATAAGGATGTCAACCCACTGAATTTGGCACCCACCTTAACTGGATATAGGCTCAACTGGTAACACCCCCAAGATTCCATCTCCAAATGATGCCAGGCTCAAGTTCCAAATGAAGCTAAGTCTGGGCAAAGGAGGAATTAGTTTACCCATTTCAGAGGGCCACAAAATTTTCTCAGCTGAGATATGGGAATAATACTGTTAGATCACGATGCTGCCCCCATGGAGGGGAGGGGTGAGCCACGTTTTATATTCTATCTAGCACTTTCTCTAAACTGCTAAGCTCCTAGCAAGTAGGAGACCCAGGGTGGGTGTAAGAATGGGATTAGCTTCCGGAGTTTCGACCTTGTATCCAAAATAGCACCTTCTTAATAAGCTGCTAAACTTAGGGCAGCTGCACTAAAGTATATAGGGAAATTCCTTTGTTCTGTAGGCTGATGTTGGATTCCCTATCCCAAACTTTCCAGGTTCCAGGGGCCAAGTCATTACAGGGTATTTCATCCGAAATCTGTCTCAGCATACCCCACTTCGAACCTTAAAACAATGTCTACTTCATCATCCCAAGGTTCTGAAAGTTATACAGTCGAAGTTTGTGGAAAGAGGCCAAGACACATGAGATGAACTGCACCCATGTTAATTGATACTGTTAGTAGATAAGAGTAACAGGACTTGGATCTTTGATTCCAGATCAATTCCTGATAATTTGAAGCTCCCAGAAATAATTTTTAGACCCTAAAATAAAATTAAAAAAAAAAAGCAAGCCCTGGGGCTTTGAATAAGCTCCACTATTCTGGGGCAAGACTTTCCAATCTGTTCGACGGACAATGCAAGGTTACAAAGGCGGGAAAACAGTGAGGAAAGTTCCAGCTAGCCTTAACACATGGAAGGCGCTGCTCAGAGGATGAGGCCTGAGCTGCCAGCAGTGGCGACAAGCTCGCCCCGGAGCAGTGGAGCGGGGCCTGGGCTCCGGCCGGGGTCGGCAGCGCTCGGAGCGCCGCGCGGGCGGGGAGGAGGAAGAGCTGCGACCGAGGCGCAACGGGGCAGCGCGATGTCCCCTGAAGTCCACTCACCCCTTGCCAGCGGTGCCTCCCGGCTTCGGTCGTTTTTTGCGCCTCTTCCGAACGGACTCTGAACCTCCTTCCAGGCCGGCATCTGCCCCAGACAAGTAACGCTTCAGATACTCAGCCTTGGAGACCGGCGGAGCTGCCGCCATGGCAGCGGCGAGGGCGGAGCAACGGCTCAGCGCGGGGGACAAACTTCTTCTACTGGAAACGGATGGGGGTGGAGCCAGGAGCGGAAGCCCTAGGCGTGAGACTGATAGGTGTAATGACTCGTTTGCAGGGTGTGGGTGGGTGGCTGGGTGGGTGTGTTTGTAAGAGGCCGGTTTTGCTTTCCTGTTAGGACGCACACGTGCAACACCCTCAGCCGGCACTGTCCCAGCCGGAGGCCAAAGCCGACTTAACTAGATCCTGCCCTGATGAAAACTCAGATCAGCCGGGCGATGGTGGCGCACGCCTTTAATCCCAGCACTCTGGAGGCAGAGGCAGGCGGATCTCTGTGAGACCAGCCTGGTCTACAGAGCTAGTTCCAGGACAGGCTCCAAAGCCACAGAGAAACCCTGTCTCGAAAAACCAAAAAAAAAAAAAAAAAAAAAAAAAAAACTCAGATCAGACCGAGCACCTGTTTGAATATGGGGCCCAATCATAACTGTACTACTGAGGGCAAGTTATTGAACAGCATTTTAATAATGGATGCTGTGCCAAATGCTTAGAAGTGTCCAGCACAATTAGTGTATTTCCGCTATTTTTTTTCTAGGTAATTCTATTTTCTTTTTTTTTAATTAATTTATTTATTAAAGATTTCTGTCTCTTCCCAGCCACCGCCTCCCATTTCCCTCCCCCTCCCCTAATTAAATCCCCCCCCCCTCAGCCCGAAAAGCAATCAGGGTTCCCTGTCCTGTGGGAAGTCCAAGGAACCCCCCACCTCCATCCAGGTCTAGTAAGTTGAGCATCCAAACTGCCTAGGCTCCCACAAAGCCAGTACGTGCAGTAGGATCAGAAACCCAGTGCCATTGTTCTTGAGTTCTCAGTAGTCCTCATTGTCTGCTATGTTCAGAGAGTCCGGTTTTATCCCAGGCTTTTCCAGATCCAGGCCAGCTGGTCTTGGTGAGTTCCCAGTAGAACATCCCCATTGTCTCAGTGTGTGGGTGCACCCCTCATGGTCCTGAGTTCCTTGCTCATGCTCTCTCTCCTTCTGCTCCTGATTTGGACCTTGAGAATTCCTTGAGAATATTTCCGCTATTTTTATTGGTATAAATTCTTTTTGGTGGACACTATGCTGGATTGGGCTTCCAAATACCATTTAGAGGGAGTCAAACAAATCCCACTCCCAATACTGTGACTATGAAAAAATGAATAGGTTTCATCAAATCTTTACAGGTTTGGTATTGTCTCAAGAAAATGGTATAAAATCTTCTCAAAAATGACATCGATTTGATGTCAGTGTGGCAATAAAAAAAAAAAACTAGGAAGATTCTGGTACTTCTATAGAGGATTAAGTGTTCTGTGAATCTTCACTTGACCCCACAGCTGTTTCTTCTTCCATCTAGCACTGGGGATTGAAACCAGGAACTTTCATTTTCACATGGTAGGTAGAAGTTCTAGAGCAGAACTCTATCCCCCACCCCTTTCTAAATTGTGAAGACAAGATCTTCCTAAGTTGTCCGGGTTGATCTTGAATTTGTTATCCTCCTGCCTCAGCCTCCCAAGTAGGTAGATTACACACTTGCACCACCATGGCCTAGCCTTGGAGAAGTACCGGAGTCCACCCATTTTCACACTGACAGATTCTGGGTTTTGCCAGCAGAGGCAACACGTGGAGCCGTTTGGATTGTTTTGCTCTTAGACAGAGTTTCTCTGTGTAACCTGCCTGCCTCTACCTGATGTGGAGGATAGATAGAAGGTGATACAGTGGGTACCCAGTGTCCTCCTCTACCTGATGTGGAGGATAGGTAGAAGGTGATTCAGTGGGTACCCAATGTCCTCCTCTACCTGATGTGGAGGATAGGTAGAAGGTGATACAGTGGGTACCCAGTGTCCTCCTCTACCTGATGTGGAGGATAGGTAGAAGGTGATACAGTGGGTACCCAGTGTCCTCCTCCAGCTTCATGCACATACATCATTACACACTTGCACACGCACACATTAACGCTCTGAAGTTTAGGAGTCATTTGCTAACCTGGTCTTCAGACTCTTAAAACTTCACTCTTGCTGGATGGTGGTGGCGCATGCCTTTAATCCCAGCACTCGGGAGGCAAAGGCAGGTGGATCTCTGTGAGTTCGAGGCCAGCCTGGTCAACAAGAGCTAGTTCCAGGACAGGCTCCAAAGCTACACAGAGAAACCAAGTCTTGAAAAGCTAAAGCCAAAACCAAACCAAAAAAAAAAAACAAACAAAAAAAACAAACAAAAAAAAAAACCCTTCACTCTTTCTATGCCCTTCCCTTCCGACTCAACCCTGACGTTCTCTTTCCCTTGTCTAGTATTGTCAGTTCCCCCACTATACTTTTTTTTTCAAGACAGAGTTTCTCCGTGTAGCCCTTGGCTGTCATGTTGTCTTGGAACTTACACTGTAGACCGGGCTGGCCTTGAACTCAGCGCTTTCCTCTGTGGGGATTAAAGGTGTACACCACCACATCTGGCTTCCCTGGCTAGACTTTAAGCTTCATGAAACGGATGGATCCGTGCAGGTTCCCGGCTCAGAGTAGACATGGTCTGTTGGAATGAATGAAGCGCTGCTTGACTGCCCAGTGACAGTAGACAAAGTTTGAGAAACTTTTTTTAATCCCTCTTCTTTTTTTGAAGACAGAATCTCACTACCGGGCCCAAACTAGCCTCAGTCCTGAGTGCTGGGATTACACATATGACCCTCCATTGTCAGCTTAGGCAGCTGGATTCTAAGGGCATGGTATTCTGCAAGGACACAGTGACCACAGAGGCAGGTGTTGTTAAAAGCCATCGCTTTAATGTTAGCTTCTTCCCCTGTGCTCCACAGCCCCCCAGAAGCTCCTTCCTGCTAGGCAAGCCCGAAGCCAGCTGGAACTTGTATTTCATGTCACCGAGCTTTAGAGTCTCAATGCTCTAGGGCAGAGCTGATGGCAAAAGGTGATGGCAGACCCCACGGTGTTCTGAGTTCTCAGGCTGACTTAAAACCTCCAAAAGAAGGTCGGGGAGCACAGGAGGGCTGCAGCTCCATCTCCAGCTGCTCATCTCATGCTTAGATCTCTGGCTCAAGCAATATCCTCCTCACCAGGGGCAAGGGCTTGGAAGTTCATCGTTTTTCAACAGTCATAAATAAGTCTGTGGGGCTGGTGGCATCGAAGATGGCCTGGGAGCTGTGTGCTGCTACCGCTGTGGGGCCAGGCCTGCTTCATAGCCCTCTGTCTTCATGTCATTGAGCCCAAGCTCCTCATTTTGGTCAAAGGTACGCGTGTACCGCTCTACCTTCATCTCTGGATCATCTTCAGGGGCATACACATTCTGCAAGGCCAAGGGCAGACAATTAGTGCCCTATATCCCACCATCTGCTCCCACAGCTGCAACTGTCTCTCAGTTTTCTAAGAACTCCATGGAATTTGGAGGGCTTTTAGTGCCCATAGCCACAGTGTGTCTGTGAGCATGCATGCACATGCACACACACACACACACACACACACACACACACACACACACACACACGTAGGGGTGCTAGTTATCAAACCCTCTATACATTGGTATATAAGAGTTCAATGACCTATATCCTCAGTTCTAAGAATTTTTATATACGGCCTTCTTATAAAAAAAATCGTAGCCACAGCTGGTGATTGTGTAATGCCAGTACTCTGGAGCCCAAGACAGGAAGATTACAAGTTTAAAGCCAGCCAGGATATATAACAAGGTCTTGTTTCAAAAAGAAAAAGAGGAGCCGGGCGGTGGTGGCGCATGCCTTTAATCCCAGCACTTGGGAGGCAGAGGCAGGCGGATCTCTGTGAGTTCGAGACCAGCCTGGTCTACAAGAGCTAGTTCCAGGACAGGCTCCAAAACCACAGAGAAACCCTGTCTCGAAAAACCAAAAAGAAAAAGAAGAAAAAGAGGGTAGAAGAAAGAAAAGAGAAGAGAAAGGGAGAGAAGGAAGGAAGGAAGGAAGGAAGGAAGGAAGGAAGGGAGAGAAAAAAGAAAGAGAGGGGGTTAAGGGAGGAGGGACTGATTATAGCAAAGGTCTTGATAATATAAGTAACTCAGGCCAGTTTTGCCAGCCCCATCAGTATTCATTAATGTTAAAGTAAGGATGAGGCACTAGGTTCAAACACCACAATAAGAACAAAATATTGTTATAGTTTTATCAATTAACAGATGCAAGCCCAATCAGCCTAGCAACTCCCAACATCCCCACCCTGAACTATAGACAGGACTCTATTGCTCCTTACACAGTCAGAGATGCAGGACAGAAACCTCAAAGCTGAGGACAAGAGCAGGAGCAAGAAGAAGAGATCTTACTTTCTGGCTCACTTTTAAACCTGGGGGTTTGAGCAAGCTAGCTGGGTAGGCACATGCTTGCTTTTTAAAAAATGATTTATTTACTTTTATTTTTTCCTGTGGATTCTTGTTATGTCTGTGTGAGGATATCAGATTCCTTGGAACTAGAGTTGCAGACAGTTGTGAGTTGTTATGTGTATGCTGGGAATTGAACTCTGGTCTTCTGGAAGAGCAGCCAGAGTTTTTAACAGCTGAGCCGTCTCTCTAGTCCTAGGCACTTACTCTTGATTCTTTTTTCACTTTTTTTTTAATCTTGAGACAGGCTTACTAAATTGCACAGGCTGGTCTTGAACTTGCAATCTTCATGCCTCCTCAGCAGCTCAGATTACAGACCTGCAGTAGGTCTGGCCTATTTACCTTTAATTGCACACACTTGAAATCCTCCCACCTTCCCTTTTCTTCCTGTCTTCCAAGACCTGCCCAAAGTCCCAGTTAAAGCAGTTCACTCAGAAGTCAGTCTTTATCAAGGGCTATCATGCATAGTCTATGAAGATTAGAACACTCAGGAAAGCCTACTGTACCTGCAGGTAACTGTTTCCTGCTGGATCGTTCATAACAAAGTGGGCCTTCAGCTTGCCCTCGATGATCTACAGGAGAGAGGACAAAGCAGGTAACTCTCACTTTGATCCCGGAAAGAGGCTATGATCG